AGTCCCTCGGCCCTTAAAGGGGAAAGGTTGCCTACCCCTGTCCCACACCTTGATGGCTCGGAGACCACCCCCTTTGTTTAGACCAGCCAGACAGGAAGGTACACAATAGATAATCCAATCCTGAGTTTGATTGTTCAGTCAATAGCCTAGAGTGCCATTTTCGGGTATATAAGGGTCTCCCCGGACCAGTTCAGTGTGCTGCCTTGGGGTGCATGCTGAATCTCTGTCAGTCTGTAGCCCTAGCTAGCTCCCACGGCCTACCTCTCTGCTGGTAGTGCCATCCCATCGAACCCAATCTCCACAGCAGATCCGACGAGACAGACAAATATTTGGGATTCATATCTAATTGGAGTCTGTGGTGTCTCAGCGTCTTCCTAGCCATTATCCAATGTCCTGTATACATTTGGTAAGACCCTGGGCAATATTAGTGATAATTTGAGATAGTTATAAATTCCCCTAAAGAGCATTTACCCTAACACCTCTACTGGTCTTTTGCCTGGCTCAACATGGTTCTCAGGTCCTCAGGGAGGAAAATATCTGCCCCTCTTAGGGGGGATGCAGACCAGGGCGTCGGAGACGCCCTGGTTCAGAGCGCCGCCGGAGTTCAGCCTCCGGAACGCGGCGCTCCTGCGGCGCATCTAAAAGGAGCACCAAATTGGCGCTCCTTTTAGATTTAAGGGAAAGTGCACCCCAAAAGCGGCGGGCGCACTTTCCCTGGCTCAAACGCGCATGAGGGCGCTGCGCCGTGAAGTCATTCCTGGTGCGCCGGCCGTGTGGACGGCCGGCGCTTCTGGGGGTGACCTCGGGGAGAGGAAGGGGCGCCGCTCGTGCGGCTGCCCCTCCTCTTCCCTGCCCGGAAGATGACTTTTTTAGTCATCTGCTTAGGGCCTTAGCCACAGTAAGGTATTCAAATCATCCTTCTTCAGAAGCAGCAGGCCAACAAGTCTCAGCTGCTGAGAAGCCACAACAGCCAAAAGCCAATGCCTCTCTGCTCTTCTTGTGGGCCAGCATTTCATCTAGATGGCCACCATTTCAGAAAGAGAGAGAATAAACCAGGTCCCCCTTGATGTTCTTAAGCAGTTCATTCACCTAAGCATGTTGATCCTTGATCTTTTGTGGTAGGGCCTTTGCAGACTGCCAGAAATATTGCACATTAAATTGAGGCA